GAAAAACTATTGAATATTTTAGAAAATTGAGAAATATTATATGTTTATGTAAGTAAGTAATCCAAATACAGAAAACAGCCAGCTAATATTAGGTGAAATCTATATACTATGAATATATTTGAAAGGCATTTTATTCGTGACACTTTGCTTAGCAGTTTTTTAAAGAAATTAGAGTGTAATCTGAAGATCCTGCATATGCTTTTAAAAATACCAAGTCTCATTTTACCGTTTAACTGCTTCAATCTTTTGAATAATTCAAGAATGATTCTATTACTTCCAATTTTTACTTTCAGTGCCATATTTCTATAAGGTGGCTCTATCTCTCCACCTTATGGCCATTAGTAATCTCTTCAATCATTTCTCCACAGTCAGTTTAGAATACTTGTGGAAGACTGCCCCCTTTAGTTTAACTACAATGGTGCAGTATCAACATATGAACAATACAAAACAGGAAACGAGCAAAGGGTTTGTCCAAAAAATGTTCATATAGTGCAAACATCTACCTTTTGAACAATCATCATAATCAAGGTAGTTTTCTATACATCCTGCATTTTATCTTCCCCTAACTTTACTTACATTTTCTTAATTCTTCATGACTGTTCAATTTAGAGGTTACGTGTGTATTCATATGAATTTGCATATGCATGTCTGCCATTAGCATAATATTCCATCTATACGATGAATTCTATGGAGACTAAAAATGTCTTTGCTGCCATAAATTTATGAAAGCAGAGGCAAGTCTATATAAAGATCAAATATTAATGCAAACTAATGCATTATAGATGACGTACTAACCTGACACCAAAAAGTGCCATTAGAGATTTACTGAATAAACTACTTAGCTAGTCTTAAAAAAGTAACAACCAAATGTGTAACTTGCTAAGTTACTAATAAACTGAGATTTAGGCTGTGTTAAACCAATCATTGTCAAAAACATCCAATATTTTCTCAGATTCCTATTATTTGTTTTGTACTGGAAGTACTATTACATTTTTTTTAAGTGTTAAGACTATGGAAATCTGTAGATATGAACTGAAAGAAATACAGATGAATGACATTATAGAGATAAACATAGAATAGATATGTACAAATATGGAAGTATTTTATTTGCAGCACTAAACTATTAATCATGGTAAAAACAAGAAGGAAATGTATTTGATAAAACATACTTTATTCAAACAGTGTATCATAAGTTTTCATGTCCTTGACTTTGAGGGATATAAAATGAGACCAAGAGTTAAATTACCATCAGTATAAATGATTTGGTCCCAACTTTTATATTTTATAAATGACATTTTATATCATTACATAATAAACAAATGATAACAAATCAACTTATTTCTACTTGGAACATTCTAATCTTACTTCCAAAGTCATATGGACCCTGCACTAGGTTAACAGGTATTTATGATGACTTGTACAATACTACATGTTGCCTGAATACTTCTAGGCATTTAAAATTTTATGTTTATTTATGCATGTGATTTACTACATTCTAAATGAAGCATAAATAGATGATAAAATTATCAACAACACTTATCACACCTTGATGGCATCTATCCCTGACAAATAGTTCATGAATCTCTTGATTATTTAGCTTTAATAAAAAGGTTAACAATGAATCCTGAAGAAAGTTTTAGTAGAGATTACTTTGCAAGTGGCTGGCAGATATCTCTTGGCACACAGCAGGTTTTTTTTTTTTAAGAGTCTATATGTAACAATTTTATGATTCCAGTCTAGCCAGATGGAAAAACTTTCAAAAGCTTTACATCATCCACTGGACGATCTTGCGCATTTGTTTCCATCATACCCACTCTGTTGACTATCCCAATTCCCTGGCAAACACGACCAAAGATAGTGTGCTTTCCGTCAAGCCACTGGGTTGGTGCTAGTGTAATAAAGAACTGGCTTCCATTTGTATCTGGACCTGCATTTGCCATAGCAAGGATTCCTGCACCTTAAGAAGGAAAAAAATATTATTAGTTTATCATTTCTAAGTTACCTGTAACAAATATGCAAACAAAACAAATGGTAGCACCCTGGTGTATCTTTGTGGCAAATCATTCCTTCACCGGTATCAAAATTCATAGTCAAATCAACATAATTTTTGAGATTATAGGACTGCTCATGGATTTCAGATGGCTTTTACACTTATACCAACTATTAAAATATGGATTGAAGCTCAGGAGTTGTTAAATGGATATCCTTCCATGACTTTAGAGTTATTTTATGCGACAACTTCATTAAGATGCCACTGACAAAGATAACATACATGCCTATTCCGGATCTAAAGTACATTTCCCATTTCTTACTCAGATGCCTGTGCATCTCTACTGACTAATAACTGGCATCCATAAACCCTTGTAATACTAGATGCCTTTCACAGCACTTCCACCACTTTTAGAGTTTCTCTATAACTATTTTCTGGACTCATCCCCTAAACCTAGACTTAAAAGATGAAAAGATTTTTATCAGGCATCTGGTCCATGAAACTTTGGGATTAAGGTTTTCACAATAGAGAATAATGCTAAAAGGAATCCAACTTCTTCCCTTGCTTGCAATGATGAAGTGATAGGAGGAGGGCACTGCGTATCTACAGTGACGGGAAGGCTAAGCAAATGACAAATGTTCAACCTTAGTCAGACTCAACAGGACCAAATTAGTATTTAGATGAGTTGGAGCTGATTACATTAGTACTTTGATGAAAATTCTTGACTGTAATCTAGACTGGGAAATTGAAAAAAAAACCCACAGAAGATTTTCATAAACTACTCTTGTAGTTTACCAAAAAAAAATCTGCATAGATATGTCCATATAGTCACCAATAGTTGAATGCATCTCAAAACAGTTTTTACCTTTTCATCCCTTCCAGGCAGATAATTATTTTGGAGCACTATGTTTCCCTCCCTGGATCAGGCAGCTTTCCAGACTTTCATGCTTTTGTCACCTCATGGCTCAATTACTGCAATGAGGTCTACACGTCTTTGAAGACCATTTAGGAACTTCAACTGGTACAGAATGCAGAGATGCAAATAAAGATGGGCTTGCCTTGGTATGCCCACATGACCTCCCTCCTACACACACTGAACTAGCGGCATATGGCCGGGTTATCTGAAGAACTGCTTATCCACAAAAATTTCTATCCAGCCAGATTAAACAGTGTCATCTATCAAGACTCCAAGAAATGTAACTTCTTTCAGTGGTACCTATCATTTGGAATGACATCCTCTCAAGAAATGCATTCTGAAAGCCTTTGAAAATCTGCTATTTTCTTAGGCGGTGGGGTAGGTTGGCTGGACTTGTGCATTATCTGGATTGCCATCTATAACTATTTTGTAACATTTTAACATTTTTTTCTGTATTATTTTTTATTTTGTGAGCCACCCAGTTAGTTCAAGTCAAGCAAATAAAACATCTGTAAAAAATAAACAATTTTAAAAGAAATTATAACAAAAAAACCTATTAATTCGATTTGAGGACCATCAGTATAAATTTGGCCATCAGTAACTAATTGGGGGGATAATAATGTCAGATGTGTCTTTAAAGTACAATCTTACCCAACTGATTTGACTTCAGATAATGAAGGATTTATATAGAGCATATAAATCCTTAAAGGATTACCTACCCGTAAATTTCAATTCTGGGTGGAGTTCATCTTCAAACTGCTTGCCATAGATAGATGCTCCTCCTCTTCCTACCACAATAATGATTAAACAAATTAAATTGAAAAGCCAAAACAGAAACTACTTCCTGCAAGTTTGTGTTTCTGGGATACCTAGATTTAATGAGACTGGAGGAATTTGAGGAAAAGCTGAAATGGACAGACTGCAGCCATCTTAATATCACATTTACATTAAACATTAATTTCTATTAACAGTATTTAAAAAGTGTATTTTGATTGTGTTCTTACCAGTTCCTGTTGGATCACCTCCCTGGATCATGAAATCTTTGATTATCCTATGAAACTTTGTGCCATTGTAATAGCCTCGCCTAGACAGCTCAGCAAAATTTTTGCAAGTTTTGGGTGCATGTTTCCAGTATAGCTCCAAAACCATGAGCCCCATGCTGCAAATAGAGAGAATTCTTATGCTATTTAATATCTAATAAAATATTAAGATGAAAAAGCACAACATGATATAATCAATATGGCACTTCCATATTTCACAGTGGACTTTGAAGCAGCATAATAGAAAAGCTTCTGATGCTTTTGAACTTTGGTGTTGGAGAAGAGTCCTGAGAATCCCATGCATAGCCACGAAAACAAACAAATGTACCATCAAACTGACTCAGAGTTCTCACTCAGGGCACGCATTATCCTACTCGGACATATTATGTGAAGACTTAACTTTCTGGTTGTAATGGGAAAGATGGCAAGTAAACAATAGGATGGACTCAATTACAGTGGCGATGAATGCATCTTTGAAAGACCTGAAAGATCACACTGGGGACAGATCGTCGTGGATGAAATTTATCTTTTGAGTTTAAGATATGTGGACCTCAATTCCCAGAATTCCTCAGCCAGAAACACTGGGATATCAGCACCTCTCAACTCTTTCCAAGAGTTAAGTTTCTTTTAGGAAACTTAACCGGAATCGGTCTACCCGACTGCAATGGTTCCCACAAGACGTTTTCTAAGAAATTTTCTTTAGTTCGTGCTAAGATTAAACCTGGAACCTTCCCTCTATCATGCTACCGAACGCTTTCTAACACCTACGTGGTTTCCATTGAAACAGTCGGCGGCTGCCAAGTGTCCGGAGGCACGGCAGCCATGCTTCCTTTGTCAGCCGCTGGGGGAAACAAATTTTCGCGTCACACTTCCGGTACTACCGACTACGTCGTCCCCTTGCAAGAGAAAGCCGAAAGGGGGCGTTGCTGATGGGAGTCCGCCTGCCTTGGGCCAATCGCTATAAAGGAATGCAGAACACTATTGTGACGGAGTCAAAAGGGGGAAATTCGAATTTGCTTTTGGCTCTCTTTTTTTGGCTGTTTGTAGGAGCGGAGGAACTTTGCGGTGAGAGCGTGGGGGAGATAGTAACGCTGGAGGCGGGGATGGATTGCATGTTGCATGGAGGGATGGATAGATTTTCGCATGAAAGGGGCAAAATGAAGCTGCACTTCCTAGCATTTAGGTGAGTTTAGGAACGAAATAGCGCATGCGTGTAAAATATTGACTAGAGACTCGTTTTGCATCTTGCTCTTGTTTGCAAATTAAACACCCGACTTTAGCTCTTTTATTCGGGAGCTAAAACTTGCAACACTGAACATATCGGGGAATCAACCCCGCTCCCTGAGCAGAGTGAGATTTTCATCCAAGCAAAGTAAAATTGCGTCCTGCTTGCCTTCCCCCTTTGATCCCTTGCCCTTGATTCTTGTAAATTGTTTTGTTTTTAACGGGTCAAGGCAAAGGAGGTCTCTGTTTCTTCCAAGAAGCATAAGACTACTGTTCAAAATGACTACACTTTAGTTACTATAGTCAGAGGATGGTCAAAGGACTTTAGTCTCAATCTTAGGATACACGAAACAAGCCAAACGGGCATGGATATGATGGCTTCATTCTTGCCTGAAATAAACTGGCCAGCTCTACGCTGTTTGGAAGCTCACTGGTTCTACTGAGTTCAATCGTGCTGATACAAAAGCTGCTCCGGGGTGGCTCGACATCGTTTATTGTCAGTGTTGTTGAATAATTAAAGAATGTTGATTTTTATACTTAAATCGAAGAGAAAAGCTGCATAATTTTCACCTGCCTCCAGAAGCGATGAATGGTCCAACACTGGAAGTTTTTAAGAAGAGACTGGACAGCCATTTGTCCGAAATGGTATAAGATTACCTGCCTGAGCAGGGAGTGGGACTAGATGACCTCCAAGGTCCCTTCCAACTTTATTATTACTTATTACTACTTCATAAGCAAACCACATTTATAGTTTAACTTTTCTACAGCTGCAACCTTATATTTTTCAATATTATAGTATTTATTTTTGTCTTTTTCTGGACTACTAATGTTTACAGCGTTTGTTTCATGTATCTCTATCATGCCCATCAGATCTCTAAAACATACCTTTCAGTATTTCTTCAGTTTCATCCCAGAGCATTTCATACCCAATTCCAAAACTGATTCATTCAAACATTTCTGTATTTGCTAATCTGAACTGGTTCTTGCTCTCTTTGATTACATTCCTATCCATTGTGTTTTTCTTTATATACAAATTATAGAGTATTTTTTTATTCTCATTTCTTGAAGCACTCTTTTCCATGTATTTTTTCTCATATGCATTTTTTTCACCACATTTCACCAAACAGCCTTTTCCAATCTGCCCTTAGTGAGATTTCAATAACTAGCATTTGTTGAGCACTTTTTTTCAAACTGTAACTTTGCAGAATATAATGTTATCAATAACTTCTGTAATTTTTAAAGTAAAAATAGTAGATGTCAAGTTTAAAGTTGCTATTAGATTAGTAAACAAGATGGTTTTGCATGATCAAACCAGGATTAAACTGTTTGCCTGAAAACCCGGAATCTGAATGCCAATAATCTGAAGACAGCAGCTTTCTGTGTTCCCATCTAGTTCAGTTATTTTTCTAATATGTAAAAATAGCAGAACACATCTCCCTTAACATTCAAGATGTATTTAACTGTTATCTTCCCCCTTCAGTTATTTAATAGTATCCTGAGATGATTGCTAGAAAGCATGGAATCATCGAAGGGTGAGTACAGAAAGTCAGTGTCTATGCATTTAAATATATGCATGAAATTCTTCTACACCATATCCAAGATCATTTGGACTAGAAACATTATAACTTATCTTCTTGGTAAAAAAAAATCCTCTTTCAGGATGGTATAGAAACTTTTTAACACTGTGTAATACTTAGTGTGAAGCTTTCTGTATGAAATTATGAAGAATTATAAGCTTACTTATTTGGGTAGATTTCATTTGTTTTAACTATGCCTAACTATTCATAATTGTCTAGGTCAGGTTCCACTATAACATGTATAATTCTCAGAACATATTAAAATTATTAATAGCAGAGTAATGAATAGATGATTTTAATTCTCCGTTTTTCCACTAATTTTCCATGTTATTTGGTGCACAAGAATTAACATCTTTTGTTTCCATGGAGTTTATATGGACTTTAAGTAGCTTGTTCTTGGGGATATTCTTCACTACAAACTATAAATAATAGCTCTCTTCTTGCTTAGAACTGTTAAGATGCCTAGGTAATATTTGTAATGATGGGAAAGATTAAATATCCAGATTAATACTTCTAATGATTATGATTTCTTATTTTTCAGATATAAAATTTATTACTGATGAGACACTGGATTTTGAACTATTTTCTCCTTTGGATGGGTAAGACTGATGGTTCACGACTGACAATTCATAGAAGCTCTCACATAAATAAATAGCAAGTGTGTGAAGTTGATAAGCAAGTATTCTAACAACCACTAACATTTTTTTTTAAATTAAAAGTAAAATTATTTACTTTAGGGGCCATGAACTCAGGCTCAGTCTCTCCCTGCTATCTTGATCAGGATCAACTGATAGTCCTTCTAAGGATATTCCAATAGTTTCCTTGATCCTGCTCATTCAATTTTTCCACTATGTTTCCATTCTTCTATTTCCATCAACCTTGCCATCTACAATAATTTTTTTCTAGTTCATCCACTTGCATTATACATTCAAAGTTTCTACTTGATCAGAATTTTAAAGGAGTCTTTACTGTGTCCAGGACCAATTGACAGTTGTTGTTTTTTAAGAGTAGTTGGCACTACTCTAATTCTTTCTCTTGATCTATATCTGTATGTTACCACTTGGGGAGGGGATTGTCTTAACTCTTTTGTCATAGAAAATATCCTCAGTCTTGTGTAAATTGGTCATTTTCATTGCTAGGATTACTGTACTTTAACTCATGTGAAAGACCCTCCATGTCTGTCAGTTCTTGAGTCCAAGAAGACAGAATTATCAATCTCCTTCATTTCTTTGATGTTACTTGTGAATCCAGTGATTGTGGTTGACATTATACTTGTCATCTTAATATTTTGCATTACTCATATTTTTTATTTTTTAATGAGTTCTTTTTTCACTAAATTAAATGTATTAAATTTGGTCCTCAATGTTCTTAAATTCTGACTCTATATTCTCTAAGTCAGATCAGTGGGTTCTACAAATTGTCATGGTGAATTGGAGTATATATCTCCATTTTCTCTATTTTATTATGAAATGTCGGATGTTGTCCATTCAGTGATGTCCAGATGTGATCTGCCTTTACATTGCTTGATGCAGATGTTGGCAGTGAAGTCAGATGTTTCTTCATAAAACTATATTAACGTCTCCTGCATTATTTCATTTACCTAGTCCTAATCTTCCTGTAATTCCAGTTTCTTCCATTTCTCTAAATTTTGCATTCCAATTCAAATTCGTCAATGGCTTCCATCAATGTGTCTATAGTTGGTGCGTATCTTTGTTGACACTGATGTTCACTATATGTCCTCCTAATTCGGAAATATATTATCTTGTCATTTATCAAGTTATAGGTAAACACATACTCAATTATATCCTTTTTAAAGTATCAGTGATACTACATTCCTTTGTATGGTCTCATGACCTCAATATATAATATCTTGTGATTAGAGGGACCAATTCTGATTCACTTAGTGCATTTAATAAGTTGAGCTATTCTTAAAACATGCAGTATAGTACATTTCATTTCTACTTTAAAAATGTCAGGTTTCCTTTGGATCATTGTTCTTTATATTCCACGTTCCAACTGAGTACATCCTTATAAAGTGAAAAATTCTTCTTTGACAGTACAACTGATTAGTGATCAGGCTTACTTATAGTATCAATAAAGTCATATTGTCTTTTCCAGGCGTATTAATGAAATTCAGCTGTTTTTTTTAATTACAAGAGAAATGCCTTCTAAATTGTTGGTCTCATAATCTAGAACCAAATTTATCTAAATGTCTATGGAGCTTCCTTGGCCACAATAAAGTAGTGGCTTGCCATTATCTTCTGGGATTCATTTTGGAATTCGTTCCCTAGATGCTGTAGCTTTCTTAACATCTGTCAAGCTCCACTTACCTTCATTCCTATTGAATCACTCATACATTATTCCTCATCTTTCTGATATTATCAGCAAGGAGACCCTCATGAAGATCATGATCTTGCTGGCTTCATTGTCAGGATCTTTCAAACTATTAAAATCCCTTGGAGAATGAAAGTGAAAAGCCCAGTGCAAACATTTTGCTCAAGTGTGCACAAATGAAGATCTTAGTGGATCAACTAAATTATTTAGGAGAAAAAAAGAAAATAAATAAATGATTCTAATTTGTTGTCCATTCCTTAAATTGAAAGATTATATATCTAATCCCTAATATATTACCAATGCATTTTTAAATAAAAAATAACAGTTGAAAATGCTAATACTGACAAGCTTTATTGTTTTTGTACAAAAGCCAAATACTTTGAAATCTGGCCAGATGGGAGCTATTTTATTAGGTGACCTTCTTATATTCTTTTTTTTTTACATGCCTCTCATAACAAGTCTACAATAATAAAAATATGGAACTTTATTTTGAGTTACATGGCTGTTTCCTTGAATGTGTAAATGTGTTTCATTTTTTTTCTCTCTCAGCATTGATTGCTGTTATAGACAAGAGGGAGAGTCTATAACTTGTCCCCTTGAACTCAATGACAAGAGTGTGGAACAAGCAGTTGAGCTGAACATCTTGTTGGAGAAGAATGATGGAAAGGCCAGAGAGCCAATTCCCCAGTGGAGTCCCCTGACTCCAATGAAGCTGGAGGAGGTCATGAAAGAAGCTAACTTGCTGGCTATGCAGCTTGAGAAATGTCAGCTCCTGGAAAAGCAGAATATCAGTTCTGAAACAAAGCTTGAGACGGTTCTAGAACATAAGCTTTTACCCCCAATCAGATTCTTGTGTGCAGAGACTGAGAGTCCCCAGACCTCCCGGAGAAAGACTTTCAATGTGAAAAACAGTCCTCTGAAAGCTCTGCTCCCAACGGTGGAACCAGTTTCCTGCTTGGCTCAAGATTCCCCCAAAGCTCTGCTTTCCAAAGACAGAAATCCTTCTTCCCACCTGGAGGACTTGCCTAGTCCCAGAAGACTCCAAAATACATCTTATGTGTGCAGCGCTGATGTTCCCCAAGCTAAGCTCTCTGAACCCAAGGCCTTGGTGACAATGACATCTGGCAACAAAAAGGTATGGTGGCAGGACATAAGTTCATAAATAAGGCATATAGATTGCAAAGATTGTGCTTAGGGAACCATTGGTTTTGATTCTGATTTCTTCCTAAGCTTGTGCTTATTATACTTAGTCAGCCTTTCCCAACAGCCTTTCGACTCTGTTAAGAGTTTCAGCTCTCAAAACCTCAGCAGCTGACCTCCTAGATTTGCTTAGAATTGTAAAGATTGCAATGTCAGGTTCGCTAACTGAAAATGCTTGTAGACATTGCGCACATGACTTTTTTTAAAAAATGAAAACACTGTGTAATCCCCCTTCCCCACCCCTAAATCTCTGGATTGCTAGATACAAAGAACTATGGGGTTTGTTTCTTTTTAGTATTTTAAACTGAGATAGTACGGTTGCGGCATCTTTTTTCCCCACATTGCAGTAGTACGCAAAGATCCTTTCAAGTAGCTCTGCATGGTACTTATTAGCATTATCTTCCTATTACCATATAATAAAGATGATGCAATAGTTGATTACATGGATTGTTACAATATGTAGCATTTCTTTACCAATTTCTCCAAGTACTTTTTATGGTAATCTATTCCCTAGCCCTGTAAAAGATAATTTAGCTCTAATCATTTTCATTTTGCAAAATTGAATCTGAAAATTCAATATTGGGAAAGAAAATTCCCAATCTGATATCTTCTTTCTCTACCCAGCACCCTCTTATTTGAATAACAGAATAACAGAGTTGGAATGGACCCTGGAGGTTTTCTAGTCCACCCCCCTGCTCAAGCAGGACACTCTATATCATTTCAGACAAATGGTTGTCCAATTTCTTCTTAAAAACCTCCAGTGATGGAGCACCCACAATTTCTAAAGGCAAGCCATTCCACTGATTAATTGTTCTGTCAGGAAATTTCTCCTTGTTTTTAGGATGCTTTTCTCCTTGACTAGTTTCCATACAAGAACATGGATGGAACATCCAGAACAAGCTTCTTGTTTTCCCTTCAGGTGCTTTGGAAAATAGGTTGACTGCCTCTTCTTTTGTGGCAGCCCCTTAGATATTGGAACACTGCTATTATGTCATCTCTAGTCCTTCTTTTCATTAAACTGGATGTACCCAATTCCTGTAACTGGTCTTCATATTTTTAGCTTCCAGTCCCCTAATTATTCTTGTAGCTCTTTTCTGCATTCTTTCCAGAGTCTCTACATATTTTACTATCGTGGGGAGCAAAACTGGATGCAATATTCCAAGTGTGGCCTTACCAAATTATACATTATATTCTCTGCTTTGAGTTTAGATTCCCATAGTTGCCTTATGTTTCAGAAATCACAAGGAAGCCCTACTATTTTAGAAGCATCTTTTGGAGCAGATCAAAATGCATAGAGAGTAGTAGTTATTAAACAAGAATGTATCTCTGTGTATGAAATCTAGTGTAGTATATAAAGTCATGATCATGGGATTCTGGAAATGCAGAACTTTACATTACAGTCAAAGTCATTAGATTTTTGAGAGAGAGTTATACAGTATACACATTTAAGAAAGACACTTGCTTCACTTTGCACTAAATGTATAGTAAAAGGTGAGAGGGACAGAGATGCCTACTGTACTCTTTCAAAACCTTAAGATTTTACCCAGAATCTATGCCAGTCAACTTTAGATTTGTATGAAAATTGTTAGCTATTGATGATTGCTAATGGCAGGAGTAGCTAAGCTGCATTCCCCAAGTAGTTAATCTTGTGACTCCTGTAGTTCCTTTTATTTTATCAAATAGCTTGCTAGGTTTTTCACCATCCCAAGGCAGAATATAAACAAAGTTCAATGTATGTCCTAAAATAGGTGTGCTATATGTTAAACCAAAAAAAACGTATCTGCGTACTACCTTGGAGAGTTGACAGGAATCCAAAACCTGGCTCTACTAATATATGGCCTTGCCCACAGCGTATCATTGCTTCACCCACGTACCCCTCAGCTTCCCTGTTCTAAATGGGAAATACAGCTCTGGGCCAGATGTTTCCCTGTCTTTTTATATCTACCTTATAAGTTACAACTTTCTTGTAGAAGACAGTTCTGTGTGTAGTCCATTCGGAAAAAGATGCTCTGATAAACATGTTTAGACAACCACCTAAATTTTTGTTCACTTAAACTCAAGTACTTTTCGGTTCTGTCGAATCTGCCCACTTGCTTTTAACTTAGTCATATGTTTACTGATTTATTTATTTATTTATTTTTGCTTTTTAAAAGCTGCTACTCTGCTTTGAGGACCATACTTCTTCAAATGGGATATGTATCGACATATTTTGGATTTTTTTTCATAGAAAATCTGTGTAAAAATGTTTAGCCAACTTTCTACAGAATAGTAGTTCTGTTCAAAAGCTGCAGCTGTTTTATTTCTACCTTAAGCTTCAGGCAACTATCAGGAACAGCAGGACAGATAAAGCACTTGTCCTCCCCACTACTACAAAAGACCAGGAGCCATTGCTGCATTTGAAACCTCTCCCTCAAACCAGCATAAGGAAAATGCTGAGGAAGACAGAAGCTTCTGCTAAAAATGTTTCTGATCAAGGTTCACTGGTACAGTATTTCCAACAGAAGAGCTGGGGGTAGAGGGGGGAACTGGGCAGATAGTTAGGAATGCACATCACTGCATAAAAGCCGTATGTATAGAACCTCTGGCATGGTTCTCCAGGCTGAAAGGGTGCCTAGCCTATCTTTGTTCGTATCAATGCAAGCTAAGGCTATAAACATCGCAAAAAACATGCATGTAAGTTGTACAATCTCTTCAGGTGTGCATGTGTGCCTATAGAACCATATTGTTTGTTTTCCATGCACAACAGGGAAGCTTCTGAATCTTAGGGAGCACCAGCCATCTTTATGATAGCGTAGCACAATCCTATAAAATGTAATTTCCTCTGGAATCTTGCTGTGGATATATTTGCAGGTTTCCTCTAACAAAGAGACAGTGCTTGCTGCACAAGTGAAAAAAAAGCCAATTCCTCAGTTGCGTCTCTTGCGGACCAGCCCTGTGAAAAAAATTCCAGTTGCTCCAGAAAAGAGGGTACCTCTCCAGAAAACAAATGCAAGTAAGTTAGAATCTGTTACTTGTATTTTGCCTTATCCCCTGATCACGTTTCACGAAAATCTTGGCAAGATTTCACAAGTTGGTTTGCCATTGCCTGCTTCCTAGGACTGAGTGACTGGCCCAAAGTCACTCAGCTGACTTTATGCCTAAAGTGAACTAGAACCCACAGTCTCCTACATGGCAACAATAATAAACTAGTTAAGAAGTTTTTTTAGCTTTTCATTCTGGGTCTTCACTAGATTGAAAACTTATTGACCCATCATTAATGTCTGATTCTCTAGCTGATAAGCAAACTGGTATTACTCTTAATTCAAATTTTTAGATCCCACACATTTTCCCCTTTCACTATGAATTGTCTTTGTTTATTGCTCTATTCCTTACTGTGTGACTGCTGAATATCCATAGCACAGGGACTTAGACAAAGTACTCTTGAAAATCCATATAAACAATGTATCTACCTATAACCTATACATCCATTTACATTTAAAGAGTTAGATAGGATCCAGTCACTATGTCTAGAAACATTTTGCTGATTTGCCATTAAATCGTTTTTTTGTTTGTTTGTTTTTTTTTACTTTCATCACAGGTCAGGTGAAAACTATGAGAGGCAATGGCCCCAACACACAAGCCATCTCCAAGCCTCGTGGTGGTTCTTGTCAGATTCAGACAAGACATACTGCCACATCTGCACTGGCAAGCCAACTTCCAGTGCCAAAACCAATCAATCATACTGCTGCTGTTTTAGGCAGGTATGCCATTCCTGGGAAATCCAGCCAGTTTAAACCACTGAGTTCAGAAACATCTGGTGGGCAAAGATCCATTAAACCAACTGCTATGGTTGGGAAGAAAGGTGAGTGAATGAACAGAGATGTTAAAAAGCTTTGCAATTCTGTTGAAATATATTGTGAGAAAAACTATACACTGGGATAAGATTGTCCTCAATGCCATTTCATCTATTAAAATGGTAGACATGTGATGTCAGAGTGTCTTCTTAGGTAAGAAACAAGTTCTTCATCTACCTTAATCTACACATAACATGAAATAAGCCATCTGGTCTTGTTTAGATATGCCTTGTAAGGTAGTCCTCAACTTACAACCATTCATTTAATGACACTGAAAACAGTGACTTACCACTGGTTTTCACACTTACGACCATTACAGTATCCTCATGGCCATGTGATCAAAATTTGGATGCTTGGCAACTGGCATGTATTTATAATAATTGCATTGTCCTGGGATTATGTAATCACCATTTGTAACCTTCCCAGCCAGTTTCTGACAAACAAAGTCAAGGGAGCAAAAGTCACAATTGTCTTGCGTAACAATGAAAATTTTGGCTTCAGTTAGGGTTGTTAAGTCAAGGAGTACCTGTAAAAACCAAAACAATAGGAGCAACGGGGTGTAATCATTACATCGTTCCTCACTGATGATAAACCACTGTATAGTGTTTTCCTTCCCTAATCTGCATGTTGTCTGATATGTGGACTTCATCTCCCAGAATTCTCAGCAATGGACACAACTGGTGGCACTCAGGTTGCCATATTGAATCGAAGTGGGCTGCCAGATTTTTGCTGACAACCCTGCTCAATATGTAGAGAGAGAGGTTAAACCTTTTTCAAACAATGGATTTCTCCCACAAGAATAACATAGGATTAGAGTTCTGGCTGATTTAGTTTTCTCTGCTCAGTTTCCAGTCAAGAATTGTCTGACTTTTTGGGGAGCATAAGTTTCCTCTGTGCTGGAATTATAAAATAATGAATTAAACACAATTACTTCTCTTTTCCCTCTCTCCATCTCCCTCTACAGCTGCATGTCAGAAGCCAGTCTCACCTGGCACTTTTCAGAACAGCAGGATGAGACTACCAAAGACGACAACTTCTAGCAGTTCAAAATGAGGGGCTGGATTCCTGGGTTTTGAAGCCACGTAAGTGTCCTACTTCAAATGGAAAAACATTGGCTCTCTAAGACAATAGGGGAGAAAGTCAACCCACATGCTGGTGAGAGATTGGCTGCAGTGCTCTTCTGTCGAATGTTCTGGGTATTGAATGCTTGTGGATCTGATGATTAGCAGCTGAAAATCTATCCACATTGTTTATAAAAACAAAATCCCAGTCCTTGGATTTTAAAAAGTACATTAGTGATTGCGCTAAATAATGGAATAGATTTGAGGTGTATGTAAAAAGTACAATACAAATTAATATTAAGTGCATACATACTGATTTCAAGCGTTTGTAGACCTGTCCTAACTACTTGCTCCATCTGTCCTTTAAGATAATACTACTAGCCATTACTCTAATCTTGGGAGCAAGCCCGAAAGAACTGATAATCTTGGACGATGTCTTCCTTTTGAAGATAAAGCTGCTTTGGTCTCCTAGAAGCTCCTGGAATCACTTCTTTCGAGAGAACTTTCAAAGCTTGCATTGTGCTTCTCCTCTAACGTTATCACACTCTGGGTTTGTGGTTTGAGGATCTGGAATAAGGAAGCACTGCCAGTTCTTGTCCTATCATTACATTCCTTAGATTTATAAACGAAACTTTTTGAGGGCTCCAAGTCTCTTTGAGCTGCAGCCTATGAAGCTTTGCTGAGCCATTGCTGAAAGGGGGAAGTTCAGCTCAGCAGCAGAGACTCTCCTGACTTTTTAATGGTTGCTTTAGCTTAAAACTTTATTAGATAAAAAAACAGCCTGACTGGAACTCAGTGGAATATTTAGTCTCTTATAAGGTACACCAACCACTCTACAGCATTGAGCTGTAAAGAAGCATTATGTAATATTGAATAATATATGCACTGTTGATCATTTTGATATTAATTTAAAAGTAAACACTAATATAGGATTTCAGTTGTTATAATGTATTTTCCGGCGTATAAGGCGACTCGGCGTATAAGACAACCCCCGTCTTCGGAGCTGATTTCCATGCCTAGAAAGTCTCTTACACGTCGGAAACTACCGTAATTTCCAGTGTATAAGACGACTCGCCGTATAAGACGACCCCCAACTTCGGCGCCATTTTCAACGCTTTAGAAAGTCGTCTTATACGCCGGAAAATGCGGTATGTAAAGTACTTGTTCCTTTTGATTAAACTTATTCAAAAGTAAGAAACCTTTTGATTCTTATTGTGTGAAAGACTACACAACTCTCATTTCAAACCCTTTTATCTTTTCATTCTTATTCCATACCTCCTTTTTATATAAATACCTCCTTTTTATATTAAACGGAGGATGGTCAGTAGTAGTGCTATTAATCCACAGATTTCCTGTGCTATTAACCTAAACAGAGGTAAAAAAAAAAAAAAATTAACTTACTCTGTTATGGAGTTGCTAAAGATTTATCCCAAAACATAAATCACACACATTAAATAGCATTTTTATACTGCTCTTGATTATTCCTAGGACATTTGTGGCTTAGATGATGGAAAAGCAGCACACAGTGCTGAAAATACCTTTGCTTTTGAGCCAGTTTCATACTATTTAGACCTACAGTAAATAAATGCAAAAAAATACTTCTAAGCTGTTGCAGTGGAATTCTTAGAAGCCTAGTTTTGAACAGATCTACCTCCCTGCCTTCATTATCAATCTACTTAATCAAATTTGCAACAATCTAACACAGAGAAAAATGCCTTGAACAAAAAATCTTCAGTTCCTTCCTATTCTAAATTAAATGGTGGTTCCCTAATGGACAATAAAGCTTTAAGTGAAGGAAGTTGAGACTATTTAAGCAATCTCTGCAGAAGTGGTGTAATAATGTGTTAAGCATCTCAATACTCTTCATTTCAAGACTATATAGTGACAGGATCCTATTCAAAGACTGCAGAGTGATTCCTCGATATATGGAAATTCTTCCTCCAGCAGATGCTAAGGAATAGAAGATGAATCCCTTGCAGCTTAAGGAGTTGCAACAGTGAAGTTAATCTTTATGTCTTGCACAAGATTGAAGGACAAAATGCTGTATCAATTCTGCCACTATATTCATGAATGTTGTATCGCTATTTTCTAATTTCTGAAAAAAAATATATGTGCCTTTCTAATAAAAACACACATCTGCATAACAATTTGTAGCAAAACCAACTCCTCGAGTAATTATTGCCGCTTGGTGATCAGTGCTCACTCGGGGATAAGAGAACCAATACTGTTAATTCCTTTTCAGTAACAGAAGCTTGACTTTTGTCCCATTTTGATATCGTTAATGTAATGTCTCCAGATAGATAGACCAGGTACATTGTTCAGACAAAAACTGAATGAATTACAAAACCCGCAGTGAACCATCATATTTCTGCAAAGATTAAGGGTTTCTCAAAATCGGTAAATCATTATCAGAAAAGCTGGGGGGTCATCTTTCTATATATTTGAAAGAGAAGACATCTAGATTCTCTTTTATAATGCCTCTGCCCAGTAGCAAGGAAACTTAATAGCTTCAACTCTTTTCTATTGAATTCAGGTTCTTGGTCTTCCCTTTCCCTACTCAATGTTCTAGTAGAGATAGACAAAGCACTGATATAGAACCACCTACATGGAACTATGGTTTTATTATTTAGGAAAAGGGGCGAACTCTATTATATTTACATTAAGAACCCTCCCTAAACACTTGAGATATTTAACCAAAGGAAAAGCCTGTAACCCATCAAGAATTAAAAAAAAAAATGTTCCTCCCAAAAAATTAAATCGTAATTCTTCCTGTGCTTTTCCCTCTCATCAAACTGGGCTTCTTAAGGAAAAGTAAGGTTTGCTTCCCTGGCAATATTCCACGAACTTCAACAACTGCTTGTCAAGCAGAAATCCAAAGACTACCGTTTCCAATTCAGTAGATGAGGCTGTGACACGAACGCATTTATTTCTTGAATTTCTGCATGCATCACAGCTACTCAAGACTATGGAAACAGCTGTACATGGCTTCAGCTGAGTTCTGCTGGAAATGACTTTACTAGCTAATGAAGAGGAAAAAGATGGGTTGGATCAATGGAAATTCGTAGTAGAAGACAAGAACCTTGAACCTACAATGGCATATGCTTAGGTCTGGACAATGGCGGTGGCGATTTATTGCCTAGGAAATGAAAGGTGTGCTCAGTTGTAAATATATGCATATACATCTTTAAAAAATAATAAATTAAAAAGCAGACATGTCAAATACATCCTTTCCACAGTTAAAACAGCTAATTAGCTCTTTATAGACAGCAGAGGGACACTTAAAAATTAATTAGCTGCAGCGATGAAGCAGAAGCTGAACTCTTCACATCAAGCTCCCCATACAAGACAGTTTCTCAGTTTTTAATACAGTTAAGGTTTAACACTTCCTTGGTCATGAATGGAGTGGCATACCTCCCCCTCCGATTCCGTCCCACCTGGCACAGGAATAGGTAGGAAAAAACTCTTTTCCCTGGAAGTCGCTGCTGCTGTAGAGAGCTTAGTTTGAATCCTTTACTACCACTGCTTTCAAGTTTGTTTCAATTAATGGATTTGCCATATAAGAAAGATTTTGCATAGGAAGTTATTGTAGGCTAGTTTGTGCATTTGACTTACAGTCTAAAAACTCAGCATTTAGAGGTACTTGCGATTGGGATGATGGAGCAGGTAACCGGTGCTTTTTTGTCTGGTAGAAATCTAATACTTTCAATGGTTTCAGAGAAGCCAAAATGTAGTAAGTGAAAATGGTTTTTAATAAGGAAAAATTTCCAAGGCTTCATTTGTTTGATAGCTGCCTTAATGGAGCCCTGACATAAAATATAATGCAATGTTGCTTGGAGGAGAATGTAATTTCATGTTTTTATGAAGGAATGGGGCTTGATGGAAGACACTGTAGAAATGCCATTGATCTTTCCTTCCAACCTTCTTTCAGCATACCAAAACAAAATAAATATATTCAGGAATAAATTAGCCTCTATCTTAACAGGTGGCAATTTGAGAGGGAGCCTTTTTGGTTTGCCTCTCCTTATCCAGGAGTTAAGACATCTGTAGTCCTCCAAATACAGCTAATAATCCCCAGCTTTTATCATCTGGGTTGGGGATACCTGTAACTTAGTTACATCTGAAAGGCCTCCTGTCCTAGTGACTTTTTCTTCTGATTTACTTACTCTAACGCAGGAGTGTCAAACTGCCAGCCTGCAGGCCGGATGCGTCATGCTGAAACCGCGCCCACCCCATTGCCGGCAATGGAAAAAAAAGTCGCGATACGTCGCGACACATCATGTAACATTGCGAGTTTGATACCCCTGCTCTAATACCTTTGCATTTCAAGTTGGCCTTCCCCAGTCAATACCTTTCAGATGTATTGGACTATATTCAACAACCCCCAATTTGTATGACCAATGGATTATACTGGTTCTGGACAATGGGACTTGCAGCTCAGACACATCTGAACAGCAACGGGTTGAGAAAAGCTATTATAGATACGGGATAGCCAAAAGTGTGTCCCATTTCCTGCATTTGGAAGCATCACTTACCATTTTGCATTCACCTATGAATCATGAGGAAAAACACTTCCAGGGCAACAAGGGAAGTCCTGTGGGTTTTAAATACTCCTTCCTGCTGCAATAACTTCAACAAGCCATATATTAGGATGCCAAAGCAGTTCCTGCCCAGCTGAATCTTATTTCCATATGTATCTCCACTTTGCTTCAGTATGAGCAGTGCGAATTGACCAGAATGGTGTTGAACAGCAATACGGGCTCCAGGTGGAACTTGAGCAAATGGCTCTTTTTTTGTACAGGCTTTTTTGGGTGGAGGAGGGGGGGGTTGTGTCTCCTTTCACTTAACCAGCTAAAGTCAAATGGGTCAGAAGGAACACTCAGTGGAAATAACACAGCAGTAGATCATAAGCTGAAGAAGCTGGTCTTTATCCCCTTTGACCTACTGGAATGGGACAACTAGCCACAGCCAACTCATTGCAGCCAATTTGCCATGGCCAACTCACTACGGCCAATTTGCTGTGGGATAACTTGCCATGGCCAACTCCCCACAGGACAACTCGCTGCAGGACAATTCAACAATTCAATTTATTTAAAATAATTACAAAATTATTTTAGTTTTTGTCACTCACATTTCATTTTGTCCCTCCTTTGGCATCCTTTCTTTCATGATTCTATTTCTTCGATACTAGTGTAACTCTTGTCCTGCGGTGAGTTGTCCCTTGGCAAGTTGGCCGTGGGGAATTATCCCATGGCAAATTATCCCATGGTGAGTTGGCTGTGGCAAATTGGCTGTGATGAGTTGGCTGTGGCAAGTTGTAGACCCGCAACCTACTTAGCGTTGTAGATGCCACTGCAGTGCCAAGTTGACCTTATACAGATTTCAGAGAATCACATTCTATGTGTCAAAACATTCCAAGAAAGGTTTCGGAGTTGGCCACAAAAGGCTAAAGAGTAATGAGCAATATTACTGGAGGTGTTGAAAAGAAAAGCCTAATTTTCTTTCTTTGACAAGCCAGGCCATGACAACAGTCAAGTCTCAATTAACCCCTTATTGTGCAAACCTTGGCTAAGTCAGCAAAGCGCATCAGATTCTGCACCCAGCTAACAAGATTTAACATTGCTATAAAGCATGACCCCAAGGGCTTTTCAGCTATTTAAATTAGAACTCCTTCAGCCATGGTCAAATGAAAAATAAAAATAAAAACACATCAAAGTAACAGTGCCTTCACCCTCCCCAAGCTGCCCCCCTCTTCCCACTCTCCCTTAGCAGAAAAGTCTCTTTTTCCCGGTGAACATTATAAAAAAAGTACTTTCCAAAAGGACCAACATGAAAAATCCCCATTATGAGCAGGCATCAGGCTTGGCTGAGTGTAGAAAAAAATGAAGGCTTCTGAGGCAGAAAGGCAGCAACCTATTGGCATGAGAGCCAGGTGCTTTTGGGAGACATCAAGGCAGCGTTCCTGCTCCAGCCACAGTAGCAACAGGGGGACACGTGCTGACTGGCTGGGAGGAGCGGGAGGCGGGACTTTTTTCTTTTTGTCATTTTCTACGAAAATAATTGCAGCGTGGACTGATGGCTCAGCAGGCCACATCTGTGGTGCTCAACACCTTATGGGCTGCCTCTTGGAGCATTCTGATGGGGCCAAGTTACTGGAATGGTGAGCTGAGCTTGGAGAAGTGGCTGTCAAACAAAGCAGTTAAGAAAGTAACTGTGATCCAAGGAGGAACGTTTCCATTGATGCCAGTGGATAGGCTGGTCCTGTGTCCCTGATCCCACTGCAATCTGAAGCACCAAGGCTGGAGTAAGCAACTTGCCAGAGAAGAACAAGATCCCCAGCTGACGCTAAACTGTACAATCCATGAATGTAGGCAGCATGATAGCGATGAACATCCTGGGGAAATGGCTCTGGGTCTGGAACAAGCCTACTATTTCAACATTTTCTTTAAAAAAGCTTTCCTTAGGCCAGAAAAGTGCAGGTGGCACTAGTGCTGCCCTGCAGAAGAGCAATGTACTTTTACAGCATTCTGGAAAAGTTATTTGGATGATGAATTTCTTTCCTATTCTATAATTGCTTAGTATGGCAAAACCAAGATGTCAGACTCCTATTTTCTGTGTGTGCCGGTGAGCCCAAGACTGAACTGCACCCTGGATTAAATATGCTTCAACTGCACCTTGGAAGGTGTGTTTAGATGCACGCTGCTGGATCGGAAAAAAGCATGACCATGGCCCCTTGACACACATATATTGCAGAGGGAAGCCGGTTGTGCCCTCCAGATTCAACACAAAGGTTCTTAAGGAATGTCTAGCATACAGTAGGTCTCACATACGTTCTCTGCACAGCCAGGTCTGCTAGACCCTCCAGCTTCAATTTAAAAGGTGCTATTTCCCTCCGTCCAAGGAGAAGCCCAGCATGGTGTCCGCCAAAACTGGGCTGATCCTGGGTTGTTACTCAAGTCAAAACTTACAGTTCTTGGTGGCTCCTAGTTGCAGCCATCTTCAAGCACACTGGCCCCTAGCTCCACCCCATTGTCAAATATGCAATGAAAGCATCTGCACAATAATACATGTCCACATGGTGGCTGCTGAGGCTCCCCCAGACCAATTTTGATAACGAAAAAATATATATATTCCAGACACGCAGCACTTCCAGACTGGGCAACAAAGCATGAAAATCCCTGAAGACGTGGAGGTGGTCAAGTTTATGTTCTTTCAGTCCATTTTAGAATGATCCAAAGTGCATCTGTTCAACAAGGTCCGCCTCCTGGAACCTGGTGTTCCCCCCAGGGGGTGGGGGGGCAGGTCACTTTTCATTTGGCACGACATACAGTGGGTCCAGCTCCCTGGGCCAGGCCGGGTTGACGGAGACAACATTCCTCGCTGTGGTTTGAGAGCAATCCTGGCTCCCAGACTGGCCAAACGTGTGAGAGAGAGAGAGTCTGGTGCATGCGACATCAGATTGAGGTTTCATCGCTCCTGCTCAGTGATCAAACACAAAGCGAGACAGGACAGGGGGAACACAAACACATGAGTGTGGTCATGAGCAGGTTTGAGCAAAGCACCCCCCCTGGGGCTCATGTGTTAATGGAGGAAATTAAAAAACAGAAATCTGGGCGATTGAAGCGAGAGGTGAAAGAACAAGAAACAGAGAAGGGAGGAGAGGAGGAGGAAAGGGGGTTAGTGCAAGAGAGCTCAAGAGGAGGTTAGAACAGGATAGCATCCCCCAATGCCCCCTTCACAGTGCTGAGTAGGTTGGCTGAGCTTCCCAGCATCTCACAGGAGCAGCTCAGTATTTCTCAGGGACGTTAAATCTGACATGCTCCTCTGGCCCTTGGGATAAGGTAACCCTGGACTTCCCTTAAAAAGTTCCCTTTCCCACCTAAAGTCCACAAAGGAGGAGATGAATGCATCCTGCCATTCAGATGCTGAGCTACATCCAGATGCAGCTAAGGGGTTGTATTTTCTCCAAGAGTGGGAACCCTCCCCTCAGTGGAATAGTAAAGGATTTTTATAACGCAAACATCAGGAAGAATCTACAGGGACTATAAGGCACAGCCTGGGAATAAAGGAGGAGGGGACAACTATGAAATATAACAAAATGTCAGCCTGAAAGATTGAAAGCACCAGATCTGGCGTGGACAAGAGGCTTCACGCAGGCAGCACGTTGTCACACGCAAACCACCAAGGACAGGCGAGCAAAGAGAAGGCTCAGCCATACTCACTCGGAGCCCGAAGAGTCCTCGTCCACTGTGCCAGTCTTTATGCTCATGGTGATAGGTGTCAGGCCATTGAGCTGCTCCTGTAGGGTCTGTCGGGGTCGGGGTATCCCACCTCCACGGCTGCCATCACTCCCCGAAGAACCATGCAAGGATACCATCCCTGAGCGGCAGCTGGAGAGCTTGTTATGGATGCGCTGGATGCTGCTCTTCTCACTGATGGGTGGCAGGTATTTTTTCTTTAAAATGCCTGAGGGCAAAAGATTCAGAGTAAAAAAAACAAACAAACCATTCCTTGCCACAGTCAGGAAACCAAGGCCAAAGGATCTGACTACTTGTCTTTATGGACAGAGGTGCGGGCTTGGTGATGTTCTACTTGTAAAAAACAAAAGGCAGAGCTGGGTTCCATTTTCATCTATAAGCCTTAAAGGCACCCAGGATCCAATCCACTTGGTAAATTAAAAGTCTTGAAATTAATGACTAAAGACTATCTGGTTTTATATATTTCCTTCATCATATTATCACATCCCATGGTCTTAGGCCCATCCGGTAGCAAGATCTTAAAAGAGATCAGTTTTTTTTTTTGTCTCAGTTATAAACTGGTAACTTGGAGAATCTTCATCCCAGTGCAGTCTTTAACTTTACAAGAATTGCCATTGCCAGATTATCTGTATTTATGTATATAAATTCTTATACATTAGTATTGTGGAGCTTTCTCAACAAAGGCTGCAATGATACATTACTTTTACCCAAAGAGAGCTAGTTTTATTAACAGAAAAAAATAAGCCTAACTAATATTATATCCTTTAATACTATATGTTCCCAGTGCTTTCTCTAGGCCCAATCTTATTTCTAACACACAATTAGATTTGTCGATTAACGGGTTATTAAAAGACTATGTCCTATAAAGCTAAATTCTGTACTATTGTATCACACCTGGGAAAAATGCTTATTTGCAAAACATTTTTTACATTTTTCCGTTTTCTTCCGGTCATACAGAAAGGCAAAAAATTATTTCTCTTAATTCCACATACATGTAT